CTGTGAAACATGATTTGTAAGCCATAAAAAGAAAATAAACCTTTTCCTACGCCTACAAATGTTGAAAAAGTACACACGAGTCGCCAAATACACACACACAAAACTGCAGTTACGTACAGATCCAGTTATGAGTGCACAGCTATTTTTGAGACTCATTTCATGCTTTGGGAGCTCCCAGATTTGTGTAGATGGTGCGTTTGATGCTAGTAGAAAGCTGGGTCATCTGAGTTTTGCTCTGAGTCTAGTGTTTTTATCCTCTGAACATTTCTCACTGTGCTTGTGCCGAAGTGTCTTGGTTTGCCTCCGGCCATCGAACCATTCTGCCACCCAGTGGTTGTTTTTCAGACCACCTAGTCTCCTGTACTATTCAAAATGCACAATATGTCTATTAACAATTTTGGAATATTATAAGGAAGTGCTCAGATATTCCGTTTTCCTTCGAATTAACGTATTTTCCACTTTGGTACAAGCACAGTAAGAAATGTTCTAAGGATAAAAACACTAGACTCGGAGGAAAACTCAGATGACCCAGCTTTCTACTAGCATCTAAACGCACCATCTACATCTCTTTTCCCGGAAGCGGGAAAAGAGTCTCAAAAATAGTTGTGCACTCGTAACCGGATCTGTACGTAACTGCAGTTTTGTGTGTGTATTTGGCGACTCGTGCGTACTTTTTTCAACATTTGTAGGCGTAGGAAAAGGTTTATTTTCTTTTTACGGTTTACCAATCATGTTTCACAGACACCAATCAATTAATCAATCAAATTTTATTTGTATAGCACATTTCAGCAGCAAGGCATTTCAAAGTGCTTTACATAATTAAAATAAAAACAGAAAAAGATTTAAAAAACATCATTAAAACGTAAACAGTGAGAGAGAAATAAAAAGCTGTAGAATTTTAGTTGAGACGCCGTCAACTGGGACTCTAACCCTTTGGACTTTAGTCAAAATGCCGTTTGACAAGGACTCTAACCTTTCGGACTTTAGTCAAAACGCCGTTTGACAAGGACTCTATCCATTATCCAAACTTACACAGAAAGATGCTTACACGAGTTACAAATCCATTTTTACACACATACAAATTGTTTTATACATGCACAGATATTTTGAGACTATTTTCACTCCATAAATTTATGGACTGTTGACGCCAGAAACTCCACCCCAACCAAACTTTACCATGGTCTTATGTACTTACATTTGAAGAGGTCCAGGACTGGTCTGGTACGGGCCACTGCTCTTCCACTTGGAACAATTTCCTTAATTTTGGAAGATTGGTGATCGGCCGATACTTACATGTGAAGCCGATCTTAACAGCAACCTTTGCTGATTGACCTCAGTAAAGATCTAAAGATCACCCACTGTCCTCTTCTGCTCTACAGTGAGAGAGGTATGACTGACAGACTGGCCCACCAGGTCATGTTTACATGCTTGCAGTTAATAGTCACCACACTGTTTCCATCTCAGCAACTTTCTTGCTATATTTAGAGACATTTCAGACAAAACAAAGTGGTATCGGCCAAATTTGGAATCGACAAGTCAGGCCTTTTTAAAGATTGTCAATCAGCAATCAGCCAGAAAGCAGCAGTCAGTGCATTTATTACTTTGGGGATTCCCAAAGTGAGCTGGAGCGTGTCATTAGGGAGAAGGATTCTTTTTACCTTTGTGATCTGATCTAAGATAAGCAGAAGTTGAGGATAGAGGACTCATTATTTTATTTCTCCCTATTGTAGAAAAGTCATGAATATGAAGTGACAGAAATGGAAGCAATCAGTGATTTAAGATGAGCCTCAGCACAGAGCAGAAAAGATAGCAGAACTAAAACTAGTAAAAATATAAACTGAGAATGCTGTTGTATTTTCCTCCTGCTGCAGCCGTTCTTACCGATGCTTTGTGCTTCAGGAGAGCGGGAACCCCCAGGTGGTGTTCATGCAGCTTGATCTGGCAAGTTTAAAGTCAGTTCGCAGTTTTGCTGAAACCTTTCTTAAGACTGAACCTAGACTGGACATCCTCATCAACAATGCAGGTGATGTTTGAACAACCAGTCGCTTCCCAGTTAGAACTTTTATACTATGTGTTGCATGAAAACAGAAATAAAAAAAAGCTAAAAAATAACTCACGATTGGTTCTGTGTTTCAGGTGTTCTAGGTCCTGGCTGCACTGAGGAGGGCTTCGACCTGGCCTTTGGGGTCAACCACCTGGGTCACTTCCTGCTGACCAACCTCCTGCTGGAGCGGCTCAGGCTCTGTGGCCCCAGCCGAGTCATCACCGTGTCTGCTCTCCTGCACCGCATCGGGAGCATCGACTTCCAGGGGCTGGCTCTACGGACAGACGCGGTGCACCCCCAATCTGCCTGGTCCAGCCTTCAGGCCTACTGTAACAGCAAACTGTGTAATGTGCTCTTCACCAGGGAGTTGGCCAACCGGCTGGAAGGCACTGATGTCACCTGTTACACCCTGCACCCAGGTCAGTGGCTGCATCTCCTGCTACTTCTGTAAAGGTTTGCTGGAGTTTCATGATGTCATTTAATTCTTTAAATGTTTAGTAAGGCCTTTTACATTGAAGCTTGCTGTGGTTTTGGCCACTGACCACTGCAGGAGTAATCTACACAGAACTGTGCCGTAATCTGAGCCAGTGGCTGCAACTCCTCATGATGCCCTTAGCCAAGCTGTTCCTCCTGGACCCCAGCGGTGGATGTCAAACCACCCTGTACTGCGCCCTCCAGGAGGGCATCGAGCCGCTCAGTGGTCGATACTTCTCCAGCTGTGCGCTGCAACAGGTTGGAGCCAACGGGCGAGATGATGGCCTGGCAAAGAAGCTTTGGGAAGTAAGTGAGAGGTTAACAGGCATGGCCTGAAGCACCAGAGACTGCCTTAGAGCCATTCACAACTCTTATAAAGTCCAACTTGTGTCTGAATTTTCATGCACTTCTTTCGTTTGCTTTAATAAAACCGAGGATCCCTTGAATGTTTTCTGTAAACCTATCGCCTAATGTCATGTATAAAGTCTGCAGAGTTTCAGTGAGCAGATAAGAGATCCTATGATGGCTGCTGTGGATAAACAGCATTTTTTGAATGCATTGTGGGAGATGTGGTTCTTCACCCTCATCTTTTTACCTTTTCTGGATTTGATGATTGGAATCACTGACAGCATCAGGGCCCTCATGTAGAAAAGAATGCACAACTTTCCTGCTAAAAGTTGGTGAAGAACAAATTTTGAAAAGTGTCGCTCTTACGCATGCAGCTGCGCACAAATCCCAATTGGTGTGAAATAAAGTGCAGCTGCTGATCCTGATTGGACCGCCTATCATAATTACATGTGTTAATTAGGATAAATACCCAGAAGGCTGACACCACGTCCAAATAACCATGGTAACAGTTCCTGCTTCTAGTAGCATCTGACAGTAATTACTACTTATTTAAAAAAAAAAAATCTCTTTCCAGGGCACACAAGGTCACTTCACTAAAAATAAAACCAATGTAACAAAACATTCCAAATAGAAAACAAAACAGGACATTTAGAGCATAAAATGATGGAATGTGTTGATTAATCCAAGTGGAAATACTTGTTTGGACAGCAGAGTGTTCAGCTGGTATTTAAAGACAGTGTTTCAGAGAGAGCTTTGTGTTGAATGGGGAATGTGGAAGTTTATTCCTAATAGAGGAATCATGTGTTGGACCAGGCCAACATGCTACTACATTTATTAGTCAATTCTGTTCATATAAATTGCACCTTTACAGAAAGGAGATGCTTTCTGTTCATAAAAGAGAATTCAGAAAGCTGGAATGGCTCGACTGCAGGATGACTGTCTGACCTGCCAGCAGTTCCAGCTGCACCGTTAACCCACTGCTCCTTCTTTAAGGCTGGGACAAGTTCTGGACAGAGCTCCAGGGTGACCACTCTGGACAATCTTAAGACTAATAAACCATCAACACGTCCCAACAGATCAATATGATCTCTCAACACATGCTCAATCACTGGCGATGTTCTCCATTAGTGCCAAAGTTGACATTGTTCCACTGTTACACATATCTTTGTGGTGGACAAGGTGTGATTCTCTACACACTTTGTCCACCGTCAGAATCATCAAACTTGACCTGTTTGGAGCTTGTCTGCTGATCCAACCATGTTTTCTTTTTCAGTCAGAATAAATGTGCCCCTTAATATTGGCAGACATTTTCTGTGCCTCGGGGCGTAGACCGACGAGACGAAAACCAAGGAAATTTACTGTTTACATCCGACTGTGATTTTCACAACATTTAGTTTTATTATATTTATTAATTTTGTGTGTGTGTGTGTTACCTAATTTTATGAGGATGTATGTGGTTCAGTTTCATTGTTTAAGTTTAATCAATAAAAGATTAAAGTCATAAACATTGGGTTTGATGCTCTTTGCATTAAATGACACTGAAATGAGTCAGGATTCAGTGTATTTAGGTGAGTTTTGGTGCTTTATTAGTTTATTACTGTCTATAAAAAAGTGCACATTTTCTCAGCAAGTAATGAGTTAGTGTATATTTATGCCACGTTTATTTTTCTACATGCCGACTTGCGTGTAAAATATGGCAGCGCACATTTTCTTGTGCGTACGCACACTTTATATCTGACCCAATTAATTAAGTTTAGGACCAAGCCTGAAGTAAAGCCAACATATTATTTTAATAACAAATTTACTGCTTTCAGTTAAGCAATGTAACTTTTCCTTCTTGTAGCTTTTGTTTAGCAGCTCCCAGCTCCATCTTGTTTGTTGCATCCTCAGGGTGAGTCACATGCAAATCGTCTGGAGTGTGTGATTGGTAGAACTGTCAGGTTTGTAGGCCGCCTTGCTCAGACAAATTCAACTGCAGGCTAATCAGTCTCAGTGACCTTCACATCCTTCACATGTCAACTGAACTGCACCTATTAGGAAAACTTTACCTCAACGTTCTGACTATCACAACATAGTACATACAATGTATTTTATTTTTATTAATTACTTGATTCAATCTGCTGGATTTCCACAGACGGATTTGAATAATGAACTGAATTTAATGTACTGTTTGATAACCAGTGGTGGGAAGTTCAAGTACTGTACTTAAGTAAATTTTTCGTGTATCTGTACTTTACTTAAGTACATTTAATAATGGGTACTTTCTACTTTTACTCCACTATATTTTACAGTAAGTATCTGTACTTTCTACTTCACTACATTTCTACAAAACTGTCGCGTTACTCGTTACATCCAAGTCGTGTTGCTCTTTTTTCCGTTAAAATGTGAAGTTCAGGGTCTTAAGGTGGCGCCGTAAAATCCAAGCAATAACGTGACTTAGTGTCTGTTGTCACCCATCGCCTCCCCCTTAACTCGCACGCGGAGCTCCAGACATGCGCAGTGGTTTCCTCTGAGCGGGAGAAGATGTCTGTCTGATCGTCAGTAATATAATAGCGCTGCATAAATCATAAGATATGGCGACATGTAAAATAAGCAGCGCTTCGCTTTCACAGACGGTGGGGACTTCGTCCAACTTTTAGCGTCACTTGGAAGGAAAGCTTAAAGAAAGGTAAGATCTGTGGACGTGATGCTAGCAAAGCTAGCTGTACTGACTGAGACACATGTTGCATCTGCGATGAAAAAAAGTTGTCACTCATGCGCTGAATTATTGTGTGGAGGTGTTGACTGACATGTCGCAGATATGGGACAACGCTGTGACCAAAGTCTGCATTGATGTGACATTCAGGAACGATCCGATACTTCTGGACGGATCTTTACTGATTAAATTTATTTCAGCTTGAAGTATTTAATATCTAGGTGTTTTATGGGAATGTGGATCTTTCAGATCAATTTGAGAAGCAATTTTGATAGGTAAAACTTTTTTTTGTGTGTGTCACATAGCGCGGGGTGCTGGTCTTGACTTGGTCTCGGGTTCAGTGATCTTGACTACAACTCTGCTACTGGCTCCTTGGTTGCATGTTCTCCCTCACCCACCTTCGTTCCATCCCCTTTCTGTTGGATTTCTTTAAAAATAAATGCCACTAGTGGCAAAAAAAGTGAAGTTCATGCTATGTTAGGACAGGAGACAAGATGTTTCCATCCCTGAAATTATGATGCATAGAATCACATATCTAAGTCTAAACTATGTTACAGAGAGTAAACATAATAAAAACATGCTTTATCTGTGGCATTGATCATTAAAATGGCACATTTCTAATGTATTACAATTAAATACCATCGGTTCACTTAATGATATTGTATTAGAGATTAGGTAATGCATTCAGCAAGTACTTTTACTTTTAATACTTAAGTATTTTTAAAAGCCAGTACTGTTTTACTTTTACTTAAGTACAAATGTTAATGTGGTAGTTTTACTTTTACTTGAGTACATTTTTGTCAGTGTATTTGTACTTTTACTTAAGTACAATTTTTGAGTACTTTCTCCACCACTGTTAACTAGGATCAATTAGAATGTTTGTAACTGAATGGAAATGTTTGAAAGTGCTTTAAGACATTTATTGTGAAATGTTGCTCAACTTCTGACTTTAGCTGATAAATTGAATTACTGAATGTCTTCGGACATTTCTGGTGCTCACCATGTTTATATTATTGTTTACTCAGCAGTTAATTGAAAGAGGATTTGTGTGAGCGTATTTATGCCCATGATGTCCATATGAGGGCAGTAGCGTAACACTACTACAGCATGGTGTCTCTCCTCATGCTGCTGTCTGGCTGCTGAAGCTCACAGCAAGGTTGTGGAGGACCTGAACCCAGCGGACCTATGGATTGTGTTCATTATGAACACTTATTAACACAGGGAGGCACAAAAGCCAGGTCAGTGTTGTGAGTGTGTGCCGGTGTGTGTTAAAAATGCTCATGTAATTACCCAGTAGGACATTTCTCTGCTCAGTAGTGTTGGCAGAGAACACACTGCTGCAGTTGATCCGTATCTCTGTCCACCTTCCACCACCTTTCTGTCCTCTCTGTCCTCCTTGCTGATGCTTCTACTGCAGTCTGCCAGTTCACATGATGAGACTTGCATTTTATGTTTCATGTCAATCTTCTCTAGCAGTATCTATTGTATCTATTGTAGTTTAACAACTAGTAGTGAGGAACACAAACATTGGTATTTTTGCATACTGAAACAGATTTTGTGGGATATGTGTGTGTGTTTTATTTTGTATAGCCAACAGCAGCTCAGAAGCGTTATTCTGTGTTTTTTTCTATGAATGCTTGGTGGTTGGCTCAGTGCTATGATTAGTATTTTTTTTTCTTTTTTTCCAAATCTTTCACTCTTCCATCCATTTCCTACACATCTATTCTGACAGGTCACAGGGGGCCGGTGCCATCTTCAGATGGCATTGGGTGGAAAGTGTGGTACACCTTGGACATATCGACAGGATTAACACATTAACACACGACATGCACACACACATCTGAGGGTCATTTAGAGCAGAGGTTCCCAAACTGGCAATTTGATACAGTAGAGGCTTCCACACTTCTCATATTTGTGTCCTCTGTCACTTTTATCAGCAGTTAAAACTGTTTAATCCGTTGTTAACATGTTGTAACCTGTTTTTCCGAGCCGCCTTTAAATGCAACATGAGCGCTACGACGCTCTCGCTGGGTTTACACCTGTGAAGGAGACCTGCTGCTGCTGTGCGGAGCGACGTAGGTTTATGTTAGAATCACGGCAGCAAACCAGCAAAACGCAAAGAACTTTTCTCAGTTTTTCCTCTCCAAACTAACCGACTGAGTTGAGTAAAGCTGTTGGATGCAGGTAATGTTAGCTAAAAGATGACTAGCTAATATTAATACAGAACCTTTAGCTTAACAAGTACCTTGTAGGCTACCGATGTTGGTGTCTATTTTCAGCTACGTACATTCATTTTGCCCCCCAAAAAGTCGATGCCGCCCCCTCCATCCCCTGTCACACGCGTCGTTTCAACCAGACAGCCATTTGTAATCCATAGGGGGGGCGCAGAAGAAAAAGTTTGGGAACTGTGGAAAACTCCCTGCTGGAACCTGCGTCGTGACATCAGAGACG